CAGTGAAGTGAAATGAGACGAAGAGAATAATAAAAAGTCATGAAGAGAACGGTATTCTCATGCAATAGCTATGAGAGTGAATACAACACGTCTGAAAGGAATGAGAATCCATGTAAAACACTTTGAAGTGAGCATATCATAGACAATAGCTCTTCATGCGATCATAATCGATTGCAATCATGAGCAACACAACAGTCTTACAATAAGAGGAAGTGCAACGATGTTGAATACCACCAATATGAAAGATCACAAGATGAGAGCTGAAGCACAAATGAAAATGAGCTGAAGAATTTATCTGCGGTCATTTCCGACGTCCATTTATCCACGAAATATTCAATTGTCAAAGGCCTATTGACTAACAACGAAAATATTAAGTCATCAGCATCAAATGTAGTGAATTTCCTTCAAAATTTCAGTTGCTTATAAAATATCGCATATTTCTTCATTTTATCGGTGCATGCATTCGTCATACGAGTGATCAAAGTTGCTGAGTGTCAATCAATCGCAAACATTCAATGAAAATTCATTCATTCGGCAAATGAAAACTCACCGAATTATCACGCAGTCTGAAGAGTCGTCCTGGCGCAGCGAGAATGTAGAAGGAAGCAACCGAATCGACCAATATCACAAACAAACCAACGTCGAAAAGTTTCATCTGCAAATATCGCAAACATCTGAGTTTTCTCATGAATTATTACGAATCACAGTAAGGTATGGCGATGGATTGAATTTGATTTTCGGCTTAAGCAGAGTTCATATCGGGAAAGCCGTCATTTGTTCAATAGGTACTCCAGACCCGGTACGAGCCTCAACCTAAGCCTGATCCCAAATGAAATCCGTCCATCGTTATACCTCACTATGGTTATCGCCACTTCACTTCGTGCTCTCAACTCAACCTAACTTGGAGTCGATGGCATCAGTTGCAAGACAGATTCGAACGAAATCACTTCAAAATCAATCAAGTCAACATTACTGCCACCACGATAATATCAACAAGTTGGGAGGTGGAATGTAGCACCGAAGAAGCTAATGTTAATCCTATTAAATAAAACNTGTAGTTGTCAGATCCAAAACTGAGGTAAATAACTAAGTCTGTCGATCTTCCTTCAACGAACCTCGTTTTATTAATTAATAATTGAACAGTTCTGAACTAGTTATGGATTAATGGGATGTCATCCATCTCTTGTCAATGACACTTTCGACTCATCCGATGACATGTTTGGAGTAGAGAAAATTATTTAGAATCTTATTAAAACTAGTGCTGCTAATAAATTTTGCAATTTTATGGTTGCTATAACGATAGTAATCATTCTTTCACTAATCACTTTAGCGATGTGTCAAAAACAAAATCTCAGCGACACTTCAATTAGTATCCATTGATAGTTTGTGACGGTTAAAATGTTTCCCATTGCTTATTATTATATTGCATTCATGCGCATTGGCGATACGATTATTCGGGATCAGTTGTTCTTCAAGATGAGCAAGTGCACTGGACCGATAATATTTCATCATCACAACGGGATGACTAGTTGTCGATTGCTCAAACCTCCAAGAGAACTGCGTGCAGAATGAACCGACAAAAAATCGCTAGGATGAGGGAATTCTTCATTTATGGACCGGAACCGGACTAATTTCAGTTTTCGGAATAATAGAGAGAATTTTTCAAATTCGGGTCATTAACTCCAGTNTTTCGACTACATCGAAAAAATACTTTTTCTTTGATAAAAATTCATGCAAAAACTTTGTTGAATTTGATTGGGAGCATCACGCGGCTGAAGTGAAGTTACAGAACGTTAGAACCAAGAAGGACAACTAGCTGAATGTTCTACTGCCATTGTTGGGCTTTCTGAAGACGTTTGGTGACCGAAAGCCTGTGATAAAAGTTTGATAGAGCCTGAAAGTGCAAAAGATTTGATTCGAAAAGGATATACGGCTGTCGTATAACCGACAAATAGACCAAATGAAGTCGTGCTGATGAGTGGTGCTGAATGATGCGGTGTATAAGTCTGGTGGAATACTCTGGAATTTAGATTGGTTTTTTACTAGACTATAATTCAGAGCAATCACGAACATGTCCGAAATGTCATTTCAAATTAACTGATGTGCTCGAGTGATTAAGTGAATGATTGAGATGAAAATTTTTCAAAGTCAACTTAGCAAGATCTGTGGAGCGATAGTGGAGACGAGATGTTGTCCTCAACTTCTATGCTTGTTACAACTAGATTAGACAAGTAAAGTAAATGTCGGACGAATGCTGATTGACGCATTTTTGCAATTAATGAAAAAGAAATGAAATAATAACTGGCAACATGAATGTAAAATGAATCTCTCGA